CATCAAGAATTGATGTGGCTGCAAGTATTTTTGAGGGAAGCAAAAAATATATTTGCTCTTGATTCAGGGTTGGGCATTTTTAGGATAGGGTGTGTGATAGGAGGGTGCGGTCAGCTTTTTCATTACTGCAACAAAAAGACCTGACAAGAACAATTAGAGGAGGAAAAGTTTATTTTGGGGGGGTCACAGTTTCAGAGGTCTTAGTCCACAGACAGCCTCCTTCATTCCTTTGGGCCTGAGGTGAGGCAGAACATCATGGAGGAAGAGTGTGGTAGAGGAAAGCTGAGGTGGACAAGGTCACCACAAAGCAGGGTTAAGAAGAGACAACATTCACTATATATAAAATTTATATCCCAAAGTCATGCTCTCAATGTCCCATCCCTTCCAGCCATACCCTACCAGCCTTTAATTACCACACAGTTAATCTCTGTCAGGGGATTAATTTACTAATTGGGTTAAGACTCTCACAACCCAATCATTTCACCTCTAAACCTTCTTGCATTGTTTCATACATGAGCTTTTGGGTGACTCCTAATATCTAAACCATAACAGGCACCAACTCTATTATTTGAGTGTATTTGAGATCTACTCTGAAATGGTAAATGGGTTTAGGAGAGAATTTAAAAACTGAAAGAAGATGGGAGAGTTAAGGATTTAGGAAAAAGAAATAAATAGAAAGTCTAGGGTATCCAGTATGTGAGAGGGACATTGACAGTTGTAGACAGAATCTGCAAGTTTTGTTTGTTACAGCTTTTAAATAATATCTTATTTCATGTATTTGCATAAGATTTCATAATTTAATGTAGTTATGATCTCTATAATTATTTAGTAACAGATGATATTTATTGAGAACTTAATGTGTGTCAGACTGCTTGATCTGTGTGTGTGTGTGCTGTGTCTATTAAATCTAGTGGCAGATAGGTAGGTCATACGCACTAAGTTGGAAGCTGTTGCATCTCTCAAGCACTTCAGTTCAATAATAAGTTAAGAGAAAAGGCTCATTTGACTTCTGTTTCACCTGAGTCCCTCTTAGAAAAAAATAGGAATTACAGACAAACACATGGCTTCATTTTGTTTTCTGTCCTTGGTTATGAAGCTTTGTTAGTCATGCTTTGAGATAGGTGTTGAAAATACAAACTGAAGCAAATGAATAGAATGAAAAACTCAAGGGACTGAAGTATATTGTCTGTTTCCATGCCAAGCATTACTTAAATAAGGTGGACATTTTAAATTTTGTCTTTATGAATAAGTATCTTATTTATGACTATTGTCAGAGATTGTAACCGTTAATAGTATCACTGAAAATTTTTTCTACTAAGAAAACTGTTTCTCTTTTTCATGTTGTAAAATATTATATACTATAGTTACATTTGCCCACTGTTACTGAGTGATTTACAATACGCATGCTTTAGTTTCTAATGTAAATACTGTTTGTAGCCATCATTCATCCACATTGAGAACAGATAGAAGAAGTAAATTGGATATTGGTTACAAGAGGTAATTGATGTCATGAAAAAAAAACATGTTATTGGCTTTTTGTTAGCTATTTTTGTGAAATATTTTAAATATTATAATAGTCATATTATTTTCTTGTCTACCTACCTGTTTATCTAATCTCTCTAAGCTTTCACTTTCTCTTTGGAGAGCTGTTTGTCTCTCATGAAAGAAGTGATCGCTGTGGTTTGGTGTAAGTTGCAAAGAACTTGATCTTGGTTCATAATAAATATTCAGCATGACAGAAAATCTGTTACAACCAACAGCAAGTTATAATATTAGGCATTTCTCTTGATACGGTTTCTTCTACAGTCAATAAAATTGGTGGGTGAAAGGACCACAAGGATGACAAGAGACATAACTTAGGCCCCAGGAGCTCATAAACAAGTAGATAACACATAGCAATAATTAAACACTTCAGTGGAAATGTACTGAGATGGTATGGAAGCACATAGGGTATCTTTGCCATGGTTCAAAGGTGGTTGGACTTGAACTGATGATATTGGTTTTACCTACTCACTATGTGGCTTTTCTCAGGTCTCTTAACCTACGTTTCCTTTTCAGTAAGTCAGGAATTGAAAAAACATCTTCCAAGTTTGTTGTGACCATCAATTGAACTGTTTTATGAAACTGCTTTGTAAAATGAAATAATGAACATAAGATTCTTTCATTTAATTTGATATTTTGACTTCAATATGTATTAGGTAAAACTTCGGTGTGATCATCTTTTGTGGAGTTGATGCATTTATTTAGGACACTGAGGGAAGATTGCTCTCAGTATGTTTTTCATCTCCAACATATGCCCTTATGACACTTTTTTTTTTGAGATTATGGAAATGATCAAGCAGCCATGAAGAAGAATGTTCAGTTTGGTGTATTCCTGTCCCCATTGCACACACATGGGTTGAACTACTCCCTTCAAATTTGTACCTGGCTTACATGAAGGATATGAAATGGAGTGGTTTTGGCTAGCCCGTGAGGAATGAAAAGCAGAAACCACAAAACAGCTTCTTGCCTATTAATTGGTAGAATTAATTTTATGAGTCTTCCTTGAAATCATCACCCTTGAAATTCAGCTTATCTTGATGGAAATTAGAATAGGTTAATGAAATTGTTCACTTTCTCTTTGGAGAGCTGTTTGACTCTCATGAAAGAAGTATAATTCACCTGAATAATTACTATTGCCCCGCTGCCCCTTTGTTTTTAATGTATGTCTTGAGAAGTGATTTCAAGTGTTCATCCTTATTTGCTTAAAATGATCAGACTGACTGTCTGGCTCTTTTAGTATACCCACATGCATTTAAACACTTTCCAATAGATCATTGTTCTGGATATCATCACATGTTTGAACTCTCTGTATTAGCTCCCTAAGCTTGGAATATAGATATTGTAGTGATGATCAGCAAGCACATATCTGCACATTTGTAGTGATTATAGTAGGTACCTATTAAGTGATTGAATTCTATTGTTATCCCATCTGCTGCTGATTTTATTGAAGGACGAAGAGCAACAATTTAGATAGATTTACAAATATATGGTGTAGAAGGTAGATGATGCCATTTTTCTTCTTCTTTTTCTTCCCTGTTAAACTATTGTCTACCTGTATCCTGCTTCAGGGAACTATGGCTACTAGGTAAGATCTTCTTTAACTTCCTGAATGCCAGGTAGCTTTCCAATCTATGTACATTTTCACCCTTCTTTTTTAGCCTCAGATGAAAAAATGTACTTCCAAATTATTGAGCCCATCCCATTCACTGGAGCCCTTGGCTTGTCTCACCTTCTCCAGCCCATGTCTCACCTGCCATTTTTATTTTCCCTCATATCTCCAACCTCTCACTCTCCATTATTTTTTTCTTTTTCATCTATGATTGTTCAAGTTTCTTCCAACTTGAGCAATGCTTGTTTGATGTTACTATTTTATGCTCTCCTGATACAAATCCTCAGAAGAGTTGGCTGCTCTTACACCTACTTTCTTTCCATTCACTCTTCTAAGTCCACTGCTCTCCATCCTCTGTTTGCCATCCTGACTGACCAAAGTTTACTATAGATAAAGCTGCTATGGATAAGATCATTGATGGTTTTCTACTTTGAATTCCAACAGATGTTTTTTTCAACACTTTGTAGTTGGACTTCTTTTCTTCTTGTCATTCTCATTAATATTGTTTTCTTGATTTTCGTGATGTATTCTTATGTATTCTTCTTATACCTTTTTAACTGTTTATTCTCTGTCTCTTTAATGACTGTTCTTTCTCCACTGAGTTCTAAAATATTCATACTCTTCAGCATCCTTCTTTGATCCTGTTTTCCTAACTTCTCATATGAAACCCGAGTGAATATCAAATCTAGGTATTCACTAGATTTGATTATTGAAAATCATGCCATTTCACTTTCCAGACTTAGACCTTTTATACTTCATTCCTGATCCTCCTTATATTGCTGACTGAGATATTTCTTGTGCATGGTTTCTTAGGTATATGTGTGTGCTTTAGAATGTTCAATGAGAATTTTCAGTTGGTTTCAGTTGAGTTTGTACATGTTACTGATAATCACTTAAAATTATAACCAATACCATTTTACGTAATTTGTGTTTATGATGGTTTGTCTCTTTAAGAATGACCTAAATTTATTGTGCTTAGTTTGAACTGCATATATACACACATATATAGATATAGATATTATTGGTATTTTTTAAAATTTGGATGTGTGTATATGTGTATGTGTATAAATTTTCCAAAGGAATCTTACACAATTCAAGTTTGAAATTTACTCTACACCCTACAGGATAAATTCTAAGGTTCTTAATATGTCATAAATGATCTTATGTTATTTGGCCTCTACATATTTCTATATCTTAATGTTGTACTTTCTGTAGAAGTAACATCAAAATATGTAGGAATCCTGATATAAACACTGTATACAATACCGTGTTTTCCTTTGTTAAATCTGTGTTTTTGTACTTACCTTTGGTTATGGAATTCTTTTGTATTTTTCATTTTCCTAACTTTTATTTTGAATTTATACTCTGCTTTATATTATATGTAGTTCTAGCATCACTAATTCCAGGATACACAGATCAAACCAGGCAGGGCTTTCTAATGCTCTTAACTTCTCAATATTCTAAACAAATTTCGGTGTTTGGATACACCTGTTACTTTGTGATCACCTATTGGAATCTGTACCACACTGTGACCCCCTTTGGTTCTTGCAGCCTTTTTCCCCCTCTGTTATATCTTTTGAGCATGGCATGTAGTTATATGAGAGCTAGTAACTGGAACACAAGGCAAATCACTATTGCTTTTCAGTTGTGAAGAAGAGACCTTTCCAGCCTGAGCAATTTCTGTTACAGGTTTCCCTCTACTCATTTTTTTATACTACTATTTGTTAAATGTTTAATATGTATTTATATATTTCATTTAGTATTTTAAGTTAGAAAAATCAGTGTCTAGTTTTTATATGAAGAAATTTTAGTTATAAGGAGATAACTCTCCTATTCCTTTCTGTTTTAGGGAACTTATCTTCCCTGTTGCCGGCTCAGGAACATGGAAGTTCTGAAAGTACATTAACTACGATGGAAGATTCTGGGTGTGATTTATCAAGTGAACAGAGAACTGAGTCTTTGGAACTATCCCCACATTTTGTGGAGAGCTGCACACCCCGACTTTTTCCACTACTACCTCTGGTGAAAAGACCTGGTGCTGCCCCAGAAAATCCTTTGTTTTCTCACATGCAGTTCTTACAGCATCTGCTTGGACTAAAGAACTTGACAGAATCAGGTAGTCTGAAAACAGATTTAACCCACTTTGAAAAAGACTTTTCCATAGTCTCTGATTCTGTTTGTCAGTTGCTGGATGGCCTGATTGCTTTTTATCGTAATCCCAAACTTCCCTTTTCAAGCTTTTGGACAGAAGCTGTTGGTACTTTAGCTAAACTGACCAGTGATTATAACTTATCTAATTATATTTTTAAAAAGTGTTACAAGAAGTTGGAAGAATTTGAGAAAACACTACTACAGGTTATTTTAGGGAACAACCATATCAACCGGGTAAGTAATACATCTCTTCCATTCATGACATAAGATGTTAGTAATTTTCTTGAACATTCCCTTTGGATAATGTGCACTGTTGTCCTGTAGCCTTGTGGTCAGAGTCTGAAGTTAGGCTTCTTCTGCACCCATCTGCAGCTCATATCTGTTGTCATGTTTCTATCTCTGGATTCTGATTACTATGGTATAATTCTCTACAGATGCTTCTGCTTCAAACTTCTCTACTTTTGAAAAATTATTTTAAAGTAATATTTTATACTATGTTTCAATATTTTATTGGTCTAGTAATTGTAATATAGTAAGTATAGTAATTATGCAAAGTAGTTGGTTTCATTGTGGCATATTCATACGTACATACATATATACATATATTCATATATATATGCATTATGTATATATATAAAATTTGGTGAGTTTCATTGTCCAGTACCTCCCCTTATACTTACCTCCTTGCTCTCCTTGTTTCCCTTCTTCTTCCCTAGTGCTCTCAATTCTATTTTCATGAGGTGCCTTTTAAAATTTTTTTTCTCTCTAGCATTCCATATATGAGACGATATAAGACTCTTGACTTTCTGAGTCTGGCTTATTTCATTCAATATGATGTTCTTTACTTCCATTCATTTTCCTGCAGATAACATGATTTCATTTTTATTTATGCCTATAATAGTGTACCATTGTCTGTCTGTCTCTCTCTCTCTCTCTCTCTCTCTCTCTCTCTCTCTCTCTCTCTATATATATATATATATATATATATATGTATATATATAAAACTTTTTTATAAACATTCATTGGTTGATGGACACATAGGCTGATTTGTAACTTGGTATTGTGAATTGTGCTGCAGTAAACATCCATCTCTAAAGTATGCTGACTTTAATTTTTTGCTAAATACTGAGGAGTAGTATAGCTAGATCACATGGTAGTTCCATTCCTAATCTTTTGAGGAAACTATACTGATTTTCATAGTGGCTGTACCGATTTACATCTCCACATACAGTAGAAATATGTCTCTACTGTACTAACTTCCTTTGTTAGGCCCACTTGCTACATGTCCCATCACCTCCCAGTAGTTCCACATGCTGGTGACCAAGCCTTTAACATATGGGTCTTTAACATATGCATATCTACACCATAAATTTGTAAGTGGCATAATGCTTTATGGACCCTTTATAAATGTGGGATAATTGAATAAATTAACTGGGAACACAGAATATAAGACATTATCATGTATTAATTTGATTTTTTTTTACTTATTTACTTGACATAAAAAAGGTTGACTCAGGGATGCTTTCAATAAGAGACACTGAGGTAGTCTGAAGTTGTTCTGAGATATTGGAGAGTTTCATACTACTTTTTGACTATTGAGACATAGTGGAGAGTTTCATACTACTTTCTATCTTCTTTTACTATCTCATCCTTGGGAAAATTCTATTTAACACTTTTAAATTGACTACTGGAAATATCAAAGCAAAGCCTAAAATGTCTAATCTATTCAATGTATTTCCCTGTAGTAAAAAAAAAAAACAAAAACTTATTGTACTTTGTTTCTTGTTACATCATTATTGCTTGTCCTCAGTGTCATGATTTAATGCTCAGTTTTTGTACAATGAATTTTTAGAACTCTGATAAAATTTGAGTTGATAAACTAATTTGTTGCACATACATCTGTTCTCTCTGTCTCTATTAAAGTATAATTTGATCAATATTTTAGAAAAATGTTTGATCATGCTTTTGGCATTTGTGAAAGATCTTGAATTTTCTGTCTGGGAAAGTAAAATCTTTTTCTGCTAGACCATAATCAATCAAGAATTAAATATCTTGTTTTCTATAGTTGTATCAAGATATTGTCTTATTCTGTTTTCTGTTGCTATAGCATAATAACATAGAGAAGGTAATTTATAAAGAAAAATGTTTACTTTAGTTCATAGTTTTGAAGGCTACTAGATCCAAGAGCATGGCCCCAGCCTCTGCTTGTCATCTGGTGAGGACATTCTTGCTGCATCATAACATAGTGCAGAGGGCGTCATGTGGTGAGGCAGAGCAAGAGGTCTTCGCTCTGCTCTCTCAAATCTTGTTACTTTCTAAGGCCCGACCTCCAAATACCATTAAAAAATTTAATTTGGAAATTAAGTTTCCAATACATGAAGTTTTAAGAAACACATTCAAATCAACAGATATACAATATATTTCTTGGCCATCAGTAAGATATCAAATAATTAATATCCCTTAATTGTTTTAGTATATTAATATCCTTTAATAATTTTAGTATTTATTTTTGTTTTCTTAAGACTACCTTACACTGGTTTTGTGTGATTTGCTGATATTGGTGTTTATATTCCTTGTGAGAGTCACTGGATGATGCTTTTTCAGTCTAGGCTCTCTTTCCTACAAGTTGTGAAGGTTGATGTGATTTAACACCAGAATGTGCAGAAGAAGCTTGTGATGATATGAATAGTTTTGAAGCATTTGTTTTCCATATCATTTGCCACTGTGCCAGCCATTGCTGAATAGTGGTCAGCGTATTATCAACAAGTGCATGAATGGCTTTCTGGGAAAGGTTATTGTTGCATTCAGAGAAAGTAAAATTTTTCACTTCATTTACCATTAGGATGATAATTAATAAATGAATTTTAATAGTATTTCCTCTGATTTTTTTCCTTCCTCAGAAAAAGCATCTTAGGCTAAATTATTCAAATATTTGTCATTGTCATTCCTACCATCATCATTATCAACATCATTTTTATCCAGAGATGTACATAAATCTTAATTATTTACTGGAAAATTGAATGATACTTTCCCTTTATGAATTTTTTTCTTTTATAGCTTTTCTCAATCAAAGAGCAAAGCCTCAAGAAATAATAAATTCTGATATGAAATACAGTATAGCTTCTATTTTGTATTTTCATTGAGATTACACTTGATAGATTAAAACAAAATTTCAGTGTTTAGAAAACAATGGATTTCTTATAATCCTTGTTCCCATATATTAGAAAGTTTTAATTAAATTATATTAATTAAATTGTATAAAAACTTGAACCATGCTGTTGATTCTATTGAAGTAAACTTATTTTTGAGCAATGGGATAGGAGAAAGATAGTATGAATACTTGAATATTCTGACAGAGGTATTTCATATATTTTAATTTAATTATAAAATTTTAAATATAGTGTCTTCAACAGCGTACTCTCAGTAAACTGAGTAGTAAAATTATTCTGACTGTGACTTATTTTTATTTAATGATGAAGAACCATTTAGTATCTTTCAAAAACCTAAAGGTATCATTGTAAATATCAATTGTTGGAGCTGCATTTTGAAGGGGTAGGAGGTTGGAATGAAATGTCCTGAGATGGTTTTGAATAATTCCCTAATATTAGCTTGGTTGAAATTATTAATATGCTTCAGAGAAAATATGTTAATTGTGCTTTCTCAGTTTTAGGTAAATCCTATTTTTTAAATGTTAGTACTTAATATTATTAGTATTATGTTTCTTAAACAGTAAATAACTTAGGAATTGTTATCTCAGTCCTATGTCTGTTTTATAGTTTGAGGATAACCAATAGTGTGGGACTGGAAGAATTAATCTACAATGATATATTAAAAACATGTATCTTTTTAAAAATTATTTTTAATTATATATAACAGCAGAATGCATTACAATTCTTATTACACATATAGAGCACAATTTTTCTTATCTCTGGCAGTATACAAAGCATATTCACACTAATTCGTGTCTTCATACATGTACTTTGTATAATAATGACCATCACATTCCACCATCATTTCTAATCCCATGCCCTCTCCCTTCCCGTTTCACCCTTCTGCCCTATCTAGAGTTCATCTATTCCTCCCATGCTCCCCCTCTCTACCCCACTATGAATCAGCCTCCTTATATCAGAGAAAACATTCAGCATTTGATTTTTTGGGATTGACTAACTTCACTTAGCATTATCTTCTCTAATCATACACTGCTGGTGGGACTACAAATTGGTGCATTCACTATGGAAAACAGTATGGAGATTCCTTGGAAAATTGGAAATGGAACCATCATTTGACTCAGCTATCCCTCTCCTTGGTCTATATCCAAAGGACTTAAAAACAGCATACTACAGGGACACAGCCACATCAATGTTTATAGCAGCACAATTCTTAATAGTTAAACTATGAAACCAACCTAGATGCCCTTCAATAGATGAATGGATAAAAAATATGGCATATATACACAATTAAATATTACTCAGCAATAAAAGAGAATAAAATCATGGCATTTTCAGGTAAAAACATTTATCTTGAAATCACACAACTAAAGGGTATCTGCACAAGTCCTCCTCTTGGAGTCCTAAGAAGCTGCCTTCATTTAACCTGGGGTTGCATTGTCTTCTACTTGCAGGATCCCAGGATGGCACCTTCACAGCTAGCCTGTGTACTTGCATCCCAGTCAGAAGTGTGTACTTTTTAGGTCTTTAATACCTTTTATTTGATTGACATCCTGACCTTTCATCTCTCATATACACATGCATTTTTCTGAAGTTTCCTATATTTTCAGACTTCAAAATGTGTTCATGGAAACAACCTGAGCTAACCCTGCATTGTACTGCCACCTATTTTTGTTTCACAATCCATCATAAGATACTTTGGTACTACCATGACCCTGTCTTAGAAATTCAATACCAGAATGTTTATGATTCTGTTTAGAATTAGCATATTTGTTTTTAATTTTCAGTTGTCTTTAAGAAGTGGGAATGATTATATTAAGTTAAATATTAAAATCTGTAGTTATTGTTTAGCTTTTAGGTGTTGGTCATAATATGTTGCCTAATCTTAGACATATAATTGAGTTATTTAGAAAAATTCTTGTCTGATTTCTACAACCACAAAACAACTCTTGAACTTATTATTTGTGGAACTAATAAGTTAGTTCCACAACTATAACTGGTTGCCAAGTGGACACTAAATTAAAATGTTATATTACTTTATAGGAGTGGGAGGGTTTAACAATACTG